CTCTCTCTCTCTCTCTCTCTCTCTCTCTCTCTCTCTCTCTCTCTCTCTCTCTCTCTCTCTCTCTCTCTCTCTCTCTCTCTTTGTCTGTGTGTGTGCCCCCCGTGCACCTTTCCACACGTTGCGAAATGAGAATGAATCTCCTGCAAGAACGCGGGTAGATTTTCTCTCATATGTAAATTTCATAGGGTTTGTTTGTTTGTTTGTTTTTATTCATTGTTTTCTTTTTTTCTCTTTTCTTTTTCTGTTTCTTCAAAAAGTAAGTCTGGGCAGTGTCCTAGCGGTAGCTCCACCCTCGGCACATACTGGTCGGCCGAGGCTCAGACTTGATAATTGATCCAAGTACTAATGGTTTAAAGATTTGAAAGGTCGTCTTGTCCATATTTTACAGTTAATTTAATTGGCTAATCCTTTTTATTTTATTTTATTTTTTGTTTTTAAAAGAAGTTGTCTTATCCTCATCAGGTGGCATGTTGTTGTTGTTTTTTTTCCCTTCAAGAACATAACTTTTTTTTTTTTTTTTAATCGAAATCACGTTTTTATTATACACCGTTTAGTTGAGGTAGCTCAATGGTGTGACACTCCAAAGTCGATTAAAAAATTGTGAAAAAAAAATTGTACGAGTTTTTAATTTTCTTTTGTAAAGACTTCGACTACCAAACGAAACAAAAACGTATGACAATGCACGATGAGGACTGTCATCCTTCACGGAGTACGAGAGCCCATGCAGGTGGGTGATACCGGCAAGCGGTCAACCTGTAGCATCAAAACCGAGCTTCTCCGATAAATCAGTCGCTAGTATGTCACCCCTCCAGTCTCTTTCCTCTACGAACATCAACAGTCACTGTTCAATGCCGCTTTGGGAGATCAACGAGCTATCTCTAGCACCAAGCTTGCCCAGGAAGTTACATGAGGCCATGCAGATTGAACCCGAAACCACCTGAATGCCACTTGTATGCCTACTATCTGGACTAGGTCGTTGAATGAAATTCACATCTTGCAGTGTTTGTTGGTCGACATATATACTTTCTTTTTTATATTCTCACTCACTCATGGACTATTTTTTTTCAGGTCCTTCTTTGATTCAAGATGGTCCCTGTGGGGATTGACTCCGCTAGTCCGCGAATTGTAGATCCAATGGGTGTTTTATTGTGCAATGGGAACCACACTTCAAATGAACCTACTTCTTTGGAGAGTCCTTGGATCATGGGTCAAGTCCCACTATCGGATTAATCAAATAGTTTTCGAGCGTTTGCGGTTTTTTTATGTCTGATTAGAAAATCCCATAGCCATATCCAGCCTCTCCATGTCATTCCCAAAATCATTAATTTTCTTTATTAGTTAAATTTTGTCACACAGGAGCTGAGGAAATTGGTAACGTCGCTTTTGGTGGGGAGAGAAAATTTGGCAACGCCATCAACAAATTGGCAACACCACCTTCATCCCTCCAAGTCTCCCCCTCCGAAAATCACAGACCCGCTTCATTAGTAGGCATGAAAGTGGACTAAGGATCACTTTAAAACTGATTCTGCACTGTTGCAAGGGGTTATTTTGCATGACAACGACATGTTCTCTCCAACAGACCTACCATTCAGTCAAAATTTTAAGGTAGGGCAACAATTGTGTACCGCATGGGCGAGGTGTAGCGCGGCTCGAGCCTTATGCCTCCCTTTACTCCACTGAGAAGATTTGGGGACGAGGACCGGGCTTAGTTCAACAAACGAGTCCGACCATATGTTTACTCGTGGACGAAGTCGAGGAGACGATGTTGGTAAGTGTCAGACCGAAGAAAGCGAGATGGAAGGATCGGTTAAGACTATGAGCGACACTATTGGGGGTCAACGAAATTTTTCGATGCCTTGCAAGAACTAGGATTGCATAGATCTACATGAAAAAAAAAGACATTTGGTGAGGACAGATGACAAACGAAATTAGAAAGAGCAAAAATGCACGCTACCGTCGAGCCAAACCACGAGATAAGAGGTTTTTGTGCTTCGTGCCGGGTATTTAGGAAAGACAAAAGGATCGACGGCAACAAGGGAGGAACTGGCGTTTGAAGTGTGGAAAAAATGCAAAAGCACACATAAAGACAAAAACTTAATTCGAGGCGGGACCAGCCGAATGGTGCGAACCTGTGGGTAGAGGATAAGTTCACCTACCTTTAAATCGTACTTGAGGCGAAAACGAGGAAATTGTCGTTTACTTCCCTCCTTACTATTGCAGGGACTGTCGAAGAGGGACATGAGTATCGAGAAAATGGAAAACGCGGGTTGATCGAGGACTAAAAAAATCAAAGTAAACGATTAAAGGAAAAAACAGCAAGCGTTTCTGAGGTCCCCCTATTTTTTGCGACCACATTAATGACGTTGAGCCTCTGGGTCCGAGACTTTGAATTAGGCTCGAAAAATGAGGTGTGGTACCAAGCCGTTGCTTTTCCCAAGAGTTTGGCCTGCTTGGTCCCTCTCGAGACCTTTCGGGACCGAAACAGGCTCGAGACTAGGCCCGGTCGCTGCCTCGGGAACAGGGCACTGCAATTCTCTCGATAGTGCGCCCGACCTTGTTAGTGGTACCAAAAGGATGAAGTTCTCCAACGGAGGGCCCAACAAACTTTAAAAACCCAACTTGACCATTATTCACGATACTTAGGATTTGCGCACATGCTGGCACACAAGGTATGCTAGCCTTCACACGCATAAGGATCGGGAGGAGAGGACTTCACATACGTACTTACCAACAAACAGGTATATTGCCCGCCGAAAGGACACAGTCGAGCGGGCGTTGCTCATGTACGGACGCACAGATCAGGGACGTGAACTCACACACGGATTAGGCACGCACACGTGCACTGATCTCGGCATACTTGCGTACTGATCAAACGTGTTGTCGGTGCAAATACTCTTACAAGGCCATCCGCCCTTGTTTTTGCAAGTGACAAAAAATAAGTTTGGTTTAAAGTATGAGTACACCGCGCAAGTCGTCGTTGTCTCAATTACAATGACTAAGTGGTTGACTAAAAAAAAAAGAGTGTGTGGGCGCGCAGACTTAAGGTGTACGTGATCTCTCTTCTTTTCAATGATTGTGAAGTCGGCGTGACTATTGATCAAGTTTTTATTTCTGATTGAACTAGGATAAAAAATATTTTGTCTCATGATTGGTGCGCTTGACCGTGACATGTACGTACGTGAGGAGGACAACGTCGACGGTGGCTTAGTTTGTGTAATGAGCAAAGTAAGGTGAGGGGTATGAGCGCAAAGAGTGCTTGATGCTGACCCCGAATAGTGTGTTGGCTTTTGGTTGATTCTTTGATGTGATTTCAGGTATATTTGTGGTTTAGACTCTGGATTTGACTACCTGCAATTACATATATATGGTTTAAGGGAATCCCACTGTGATTGTGAGAAGTGATCACTTCGTATTTTATAACTTTGTACATATATATATAAGGTAACCGACACTCGGAATGGGCCGAACACCCGAACCTGAACGTCCGGACGTACGGGACCCCTTGGGGATGCGTTCGGTCGTTCGGGCCGAACGTGGATAAAAAAATAA